ACAGGATAGAAACCTAATTGGGGGAAAATTTTAAGGATACAGAACTTTCACAATCTCCAGAATTCTCTATTAGAACGTTATAATCAACCAACGAAAACTTTCGAACGAATTGGATGGGATAAAAGAAAATCCCTAGAATACCACTAGATTGGTAAAAATACATACGTAAAATTTACTTAATTAGAAAAATATTTCTAAAGGAAGAATAGGAGTCTAATTATAAAGATTTATTTATCTTAATCTTAAAATTCGCTGAAACTAATTACAGGAAATATCAAAATGATGATAATTTTTCTTTTTAAAATTCGTTTTAAAATATTTCTTTTAAAATACATTCGCGATGCGCCCGGCGATACATCCGAGAACAGGAAGCGGTCTACATGTCATTTTCCAATCGGCCTGGGAAAAGTAACGTGCGAATCGTCCTGTAGGAGGCACGATGAAAGGTGGGAACGCGGTTTTCCATCTAGCGAGAAGGGTCTTTGTAACGCGTTGAAACACGGCTTATCGACGCCCACGAGGATTGGTGTTTCCGCCTGTATTCCTGGTACGACTGTGGAACAACACGAACCGGATACAGAGGGTGTGCGTGACAGCGGCAAAAAGGAGAGATAAAAAATTCTCGAGACGCGCAAAGGGACAAGTATTATTCGCCCGTCGTACGCGAATCGCCACGCGAATTCTTGAATGCGCGACGTGCGTGCGCATTCGATCACGATACACACCGGTGGCAGCTGCTGCTTCTGCGATGCAAATTCCCCCTAATTGCAGATCGCAGTTCGCCGATAACGCGTTTACGGAAAGCTAATAAATTTCTCTAATAACAGGTCGCGACAGGAATTTATAATGAAGAAATTTACGTGGCCGGTTACTTCGAGTGCGCGATCGCCATTTTCTCTTTTCGAGTTTGATCTTGGAGGAGGTATCTCTGTGGGAGGAGCTGGCCGATATATTAGGTTAAGTTTGCTTTAAATGATTAACATCGTGGGACTGGTAGATTAGGAGGGCCGAAAGTTAGGTTAGGTTCAAGTTCGTCCATATCAATTCTATGAAAATTTTAAAAGGTTGGCCACCTGCTGTGACACGAATTAGTATGATACAAGTTTTCACAAGTGATAAGTGTGATAAGTGTATGGGACTTTGAATAGTATTCGATTTAATATAATTTGAATTACTATATTTATGTTGATCTTTACATAGATTACGGTTATAACGTGAAATATTAAATAATAACGGAAGTTTTTGACGCGTAAGTGTGTGGGCTAACCTCAAAAAATAACGGGACTAGAAAGAAAGTAGATGGTTTCAAGATAAAGGGAACAATTACTATTTGGATATGGATGAAAGTTGGAACGTCTACATTGGCCTTGTCATTTGAATCGATCGTTGTTCTCCGACGTTACTCTCTGAAGCCATCGCGTGGAAGCTATCTTAAAGGTTTGTCCTCGCATAAATACATCTTGCTCTTCCCTTTGTCTGGCCCGCGGCTCTGGGGAAAAGGCGGAACGTGAGAGATACGTGGTTGAAACAGAGAGAAGAGCCGATCCGTCGGCGATGTCGTCGTCGTTGTCTGTACGCACATTTACACGGAAGCCAATATTTGCACGGCAGAGTTGGCATCAGTTTCCTTTGGTCAGACAGACTCTCGATGCGGCGTCGTATTTATCGTGCAAACTAACGACGATCGCACCGAACTTCGATATCAAAGCGACGCTGTCAGACAGTAAACGACGAACTACTTGATCCGGATAAATAAAACGAAGATAGCTGAGAAAGATACACCTACGGTTTGACGATTGATCGGACACAAATTTCTCACTTGATCACTGGTTTCAGATTTCCCTTGAAAAGCCTCGAACTGTTTCTGTTCAAACAACGACTTTAATTCTGTACTTCAATGGAAAAAAGAAAATTCTATTTTTCTTTAGAAATTAAACTTGTTTGAAGTACATTTTAAAAAATTTTGAATTTTTTAAAATGTTTTTTTATAAGATAGCGAATAATTGTCTTAACTGTCAGAATTTGTTGGCTCGAAAATTATATACTCGCAAAGTTTCATCATTGTCTTTTTACATCTTTGGATAACATGATAGAAATGGGCGCCAAATTCAAATTTTGTTTCCAGTAAAGTGAAACGTTAACTCGTTTTTAGAAATGGAGTAAATTTTAAAATTTTACAGTTTGAATGTTAATTATGAAAAATTATATGGAAGAGAATAACTATTTATTTCTTTAAGTACATTGAATATTATGAAATTATATTAGATTATTTTATTTAGGTTTAGATGTTAATTATGAAAAATGTTAAGATATGTTCCTAAGCTCTGAAGATAATCTAACTTGTCCTATGCTTTCATTTAAAAGCCAGTCTACGAGCTCATCTCGGTTAAACGCCGCGCCCTAGTGATTAATCATCTTATGATCGCGATATTCTTTGGTCTAATGCGCCAGTAGATGCCGTGTGGCAGCACTGTTTACACAGGCTTTTTATCCGATAAATCGAGAGATCTTCAGCTATTTTCCACTGCAATTTTATCAGTCGGTAATGCAGTCGTTATTAACTTTCGACAAAGATCTTACCGATGTGGCAAATCACCGGCTTAAACTCGATGAAAGATGCGTTCGCAGAGTGTGAAAGACAGAAATCTAGTGTTTTTTGTGATCATCGTTTGCACGCAGGCAGGCCTGCCTTTGACAGGCTGTAAGAGCACCGTATAATAAAGGTGCTCCCCTTTTTTTTTTTTTACTACGTGTCATAGTTTAAAAAATAAGAAAATTAAATTAAAATATAATTTAAAATATTCTCATCGATTGTTACAATTTTTAATCACAAAATATGTTATATGAAAAATATGGCATCTTTTTTGACAATAAAAATAAAAAAAAACGTTAAATAAAAACTTTTTGTGTAAAGATTTTCATCTATTGTTGGCTTATGTTATAAATTCTTGTTTGTTATTTTTATAAACATATATATATATATTTTTAATATTAATTTAAGAAATATAATAAATATAAGGATAATTTTCAAATTTATGCAAAGTACTGGCATGTTGACATGTTTCCAGTTAATAACCATTAATTTACTTGCTAAAATCACGCATACGTGAGAGAGGCACGCGTGTATTAATAGAAAAATGGGAAAAAATGGAAAATAAAAAATGAATTGCGAAGTTATAAAATTTATGCGATTAATCTTCACAATTTAAAATATATATATATATATTAAAATTTTTAAATTTTCTTCCTTTTTTAAATTGGAGAGAATTTTCAAGCCGGGTGAAGACGTGTTCCATCGATGGATGAACGAGCCGAGTTCGTTGATCATTATTGAATTAAATTGTCTGGAAAATTTTTGAGATATTCTAGCCCCTTAAATAAACGAAGTTCCGAAACTTTCCCGGAAAGTTCCAGCGCGATGGAGCGGCGGACTTCAGGCGTTTCAGATTATTTAAGACGAGGCCATCCCGGCTGGGTTATCTGTCGCGAATAAATCCGTTCGTTTGCTTATTTACACTGGATTACTCTCGTTTCCTGCAACTACGGAATGTGCAACTTGCTATAACTTCTCAGATACTTTCTCAGATTTTTCGAGGATTCCTTACCTATTTTTATTCATCTCGAATGGACACGAAAAAACTTAATTTTCCATTTATTTAAAAGCATAAAGTATATATAAATGAGTATAATTAAATAATTAAATAATTAAATAAAAAGTAAAATATGGATCAAGTTCACAGTCAATAATAAGCAATTATCCTATTCATATCAATTCTACTGCATAAAACAAAAAAACATCGCATAATCAGATAGATTCGTTAGAAATAAATATTCTTTTAACTCGACTTAATATAATTTTGGAAGAATTTCTTATCAATTTTCATTCAAAAAAGCGAGAGAAAGATAGAGAAAAAAGAACATTTATTTTATAGTTCAGTCAATAGTTGGCAGCACTGTTCGCACTAGGCCCGCAATTGTATAGAATAAAAAGGACTATGTGATCATATAGATTCGTTAAAGGAGTTAAATTGACGGAACAAGAAGAAGAATGGAAGCTTCTGATTACTCGTTCCTGCGTGATTAATTAACGACTACACTCAATCTTGTCTATTTGTCGTCACTGCATCACTAGTTTCTTTCTCTGGCTGAATTCGATCGATCGAAAAAATTCCAACAAAAACGCGCACGATCGTAAAACGCGCGTGTGAAACAAAACGTCGAACGATTGGTCCTGTAAAAACGGTTCTAGTCGTACGCGCGATCATTGTAAATCCTTCAAAAAATTCCTCTTGATAAACCGTATAAAAAATTTTATAACGTATTCATATATCGTATATGGAGAAACATGAATGGTCAAATTTGTATTAATTATTATGGATTAAAATATTTCAATTATTCACACACGATGAAACCACCATGAAATTTATTAATCAGATTAATTAGAATAATACCTAGAATTATCAAGAAATCCAATAGAAAAATTTTTAAGATTCTTCAAATTAACTATTTTTATTGATCTCCATGTTAATTTAAGAAAATATAACAGGTAAAAATGACTGATTATTTCTCATATGATAATACTAATATATACTATAGAATATTATAATAATAATATAATATTTATGATAAGAATAGAAAATAAATTTTAATAAAAAATATGACTATAAATCAATTTAATGTTATCCAACAGAAGACGAATTTACATGAAGTCAACTATATCATGCGATATTTCATAGTTCTGATTCTTTTTAAATGCATTGTTACAATGAACACAAGTTTACAATAGAATATCGGTGAGAGAATAGGGAGAAGAATACAAAGGAAGGCACAAAGTCACATTGACGAAACATATACGCATTATGACTGCCGCACAACCGATGAGTATTCAGTTTCAAACTATCTGCATTACTTTACTAACTTTTTTGCCAACATGAATTATATGAAATAGGAAGAAAACTATGAAAAGAGATGGAAATTTGATTCGTTGTTTTTCGTAGATCCAATGCAAATTCATAGAATAGACACGTTATTGCCTAAAAATACCACGCTAACAAATTAGATCTTCTAGCAACGCGACACTAAATTACACAAAGCAAATAGATAAGATCTTTTGCTCTTGTACTGCTGCGAGTGCCATCTTTACATCTCTGCATAGAACTTCAAAGAGAACCTCAAATCCAATACTCAAAAATTCCAATGAAATTTGCATCTTTGATGAATCTGAAATGAATATATAATATAATAGTAATAACTATATATATCAGATAAATAATTATAAATCCATGTAAAATTTAAAAAATTTTAAGCATACTGTTTAAACCATACAAATTTGTTAAACATCACAAATTTTACTCATTATATTATATATTGATTAACTATTCGTCATGGTTGTAATTAATTTACTATTTTTTCACAGATAGATGTAAGTATTTATAATTAAAATTTTATTGACATCCATTAATGTCAAACCTAACCTCAACTTTGTTATAAACCTGTCATTCCATTCCCGCATATACAGACGAATGATGGATCGAACTTTAGTTACAATCGTGTCATTTGCAAGCGTGCAGGCTAACGCGATGCCACTTTGTTCACTCAGCGAAAGGCACTATCTACGCAAACATGGTAATCAGGGGAGTCACTCAAACGGCAGTAAAGATAACCGATCTTCAGTGACTCTATATTACCATGCCACCACTGGTAAAATAGTTTCCACGTGAATGTAATTAGTTATAGAAGCTAATTACCTCGATGTTACACATTCGTGCGATGCGACGTTGGTTTTCAAATGGAATTGGCCACACCTACCAAAGAAAACCTTAATATCATCAAAATGGATTGTATATATATCTAACCGTATAATTTCTCCGAGTAGGGATGGGTTACTACACATATCAGTCAAGCCGAAATTAAACCCCTTGAAGCGGTTCTCGTGAGTTCATTGAACATGTGAGGCGTAACATCGTTGGGGTAGGTTCTGTTTTCAAGATTTCACGATCCACTTTGAGACAGTGAAGAGACGTGCACTATTTCTTCACGAGTTGAATAAGAGAAACGGTGTTGTGTATTGTAAGATTAGTAAGTTAGTAATCGAATAGTAAGCAAAACACATTCGAATGTTATTCGAATATTGATGAATTTTACCATTTTGTTGAATTTTAGAAATTATTCAAAAAAAAAAATGAAACTAAAGGAAGTGAAAAAAACTATATCATTAAAGTTACGAAAAAATTATATAACAAAACTTGCGTAACAGAATCATTGTTGTACAAAATTAATCCGAATATAAATAATCCAAGGAAGGTAATCTCATTTTAACCTCATCAAGATATATCTTTTAATCCGAAAATAGAAAAGAAAATCGTAATTAAAAAGGAAATCTCATCAAAGGCTTCGTTGTCGAAGCTGCTGGACCGATGACTGAGGATCACCCAGGATCGATGTAGCGCGAACAGGCATCCAGGATCAAACAGACGGTATAATGGAATAGAATCTCTTTTGTTTTTCCTCGATCCATTTGCGGGCGTCCAACCGGAAAAGCTTTGCAGTTTGCCAGTAGAATCCGGTTTAATTACCGATCCGATTGCGGCAGCTACGTTAGATCTCATCGTCGTTGTTGCGACGTGCCAACTTCGTTGCTTCGGACCTCGTGTGTATGTGTGTATACGTGTATGGATGGTTTGAACGTGGTGAGTGAAAAAAGTCGATGGAGCGCCACCGAGCGGATTAAACGGGAGTGTAAGAGGAGTGGAAAGAGGAGAGGCAGGTGGAAAGGAAACGAGCCACTGTAAATAGATACGTGTGCCAGGAACGTGGAGAGGTATTCTTCCCCGTTGACGAGGAATCGAACCTCGATCGCGGCGAGACGGCGGGAGGGTGTGAGAACGAACGAGTTCCTGCGGTTGATTTTAGGTTCCTGTTCTCGAATGAATGATATTTCAGCGATAGTTGGCAATCTAGCGGATCCTTTTTACGAAATCTTTTTCACGATATTCTTTGTTAACTTCTTTGGAAGTGGATCAATAACAGGGTGGTTCATCTCTTGATATCGTTATTGTTTAATGAGTTAGTAAATAATGATGCGTTGTAAGGTGAGTTTGTAAGGAAAAAATTGTAGATTTATTGGTGTCACTTTAATCACTTTTATTCGATTCTTTTAAAGAAAATCTATTTTTTCGTTTTGATACTCTTATAGAATATGATAATATTATAAAAATTATTCAATTTATGAAAAAGAATACGTCGAATATTATTCTTTTAATATGTGTCGTTAAATAAGATGCTTTGTGCAATGAAGTTGTATTTGTAGGTTAGGTTTTACCAGTCTGCCATTATAGGATCCTAATTCGATTTATGGATAGCTGGGAGAGGAAGGAAGGAAATTCCGGCCGTGGAACGATAAGTTTTGGCGGATGCAATGTATCCGGTGATTTAGCATTGTGGCGGCCGTGTATCGTCAATGGGCGCACGCAGGTAGAACGACACATAACGCCAGTTCTTCCGTCCTTGTCTTTATCGATTTCCGATTGATCCTCATTATCGACTCTTCCTCGGCTGCGCCCCTTCCTTTTAAAAAATCCTCCTCTTCCTTTTCTCCTAACGACCTTATCAACGACATTCTTATTCAAATTTAATCCTTTTTGGAGGTTATCCTTGGATTCTGCTTTGAAGTTGACTTAATACACCGATCCTTTAAAGAACTATTCGATTATCTCGAACGCCCGAGAATGTTGGATTGCCAATAGATTTTGCTCGCGACTGCATAAAGTGAGTGATCGTGAGTATATTTTTTGTAAAATGACAACAGGATTGTATACAAAAAGAAAAGGTACGTAGGAACTTTGAAAGTTTTTCCCTAGATAATAAAATATACTAGATAATAAAATGATATTTTATTGTATTTATTTATTTTTCTCGGACATGAGAAAAAACGATATTTAATAAAACATTTTAAAACGTTATAGATATCAAGATTATCAAGAAATTAATTATCTAAAAACCAAATTTTCCCTAGTCACATATATTTTCCTAGATATATAGACACGATATAAGATCTTTTTGTCGAATGTTGTCTGATTGGATTTTTACCACGACACGTCACGTTTTTATCGGCAAACTTAAGACGCGTATCGTTCTGCCGTTTCGATAATACGCTTTCACCAGTATTAAGTTAAAGCCACCAGAATCTTCGAGCGTCTCGTCCGTTTTCCGACGCCGCGTAATCTTGGGATATCTTAAGATATTCCGAGCGTCTTTCGAGGCATGAATGCGTAATACCCAGGGAAAGCGCAATTAGAGGGGAAACGCTGTGAATAAATAAAAACGGGGTAGCGAGATTCTCGCATAGCATGGCCGCCTGGGGGAATTTTTATCGAGAAACTTTTGTTATGATAAACCGGGTGCACCAGAAGAGAATGGCGCCGACCGGAGGGGAGATGGAATCGGCGAATTGTCCGACAAAAGTATCCACAAGTGCGTCTTCTTTTTCAACTCTAAAAAAATTGAGTTCATTCATTCCGAGAATAGATATGATGTTCTTTTTTTTTTCCTCTCTCTCTCTC